CACTAAAATAGGATCAAAACTAGGGTAAAACAAGTGAGGCATTTGCTTAGGGTACACAAGTTTAAGGAGACACATAAAACTCCAGTAGTGAATAAAATAATATTTTAAGTAATATTTTTTAAAAAGTCAAAGTTAATGTAAAAAGAAAACATGATAAAGTATCAGAATTCTAGATTAATAGGATCAGTAGACTTTTTTTTTGGTTCAGGCTCCAAGGTAGCTTCAAACTTGGGTTTCAAGGAGCTTTCACCTCCAGGAAGCCTTTTCTGAACCCCAGACTATTAAAGGCTGTTTACAGGTGCTGAGTGGTGTGGGACTCTGAAGCTCCTGGGAAGCGGGAGCTGGTCTGGTATCTGATTCCTGTTTGTGCCTCCAGCACCTTGATCAAGGGTAGCCAGCCTAGAGGCAAGTTGGGGAGGTGTCCCAGGTCTGTGACCTTGGCCTAAGTCCTTTAGTACAGGAATAGGAACTTGAGAGAGGCCCATTTCGGGGGTTGGCCCTTCTCAAGGAGAAGTGGTTTCCTGTTTTCCAGCGTGTCATTGGAGCAGGGTTGTTGGGACCATGGTCAGTTAATCTGTTAAGCCTCTGTGGCAGCGCCTGGCCGATTGTGAGCTGCCATCAAGTCACTGTGACTCATGGCACTCCTGTGAGCAGCGAATGGAAAGCTATCATCTTTGATCTCTCACAGATCACACCAGAGGCTTTTCACCGACTGTTTGTGTAAGTATTGGGGACAGTGGTAATTTCGTGGTAGAATCCTCACTTTCCACTGACTCAGTTCCTGGCCAGTGCACCATGCACGTAGCCACCTGCTGTCTGTAGGCAAGGTGTTTTTTTATGTTGATCTCGCCTATAGTAGTCATTGATTGATTACTGCTCATAGCAACCCTATGGGACAGAGTAGAACTGCCCTATAGGGTTTTCAAGGCTGTAAATTTTTTTATTTTATTTTTTATTTTATTTTTGTGTGTGTGTACCGTCAAATCAGATCTGACTGGTACAGGAGGAGATTGTCCCTCCTTCCCCGGCAGAGCATCTGGTGGATTCAAACCGTGCGGCTCTGGGATTGTAGTTGCAGCTCTTTGCCACTAGGCCACCAGAGCTCCCCTAAGGCTGTAAATTTTTATGGAAGCAGACTCCCATCTTTCTCCTTCAGAGTAACTGATGGGTTTGAACTACTGACTTTAGGGTTAGCAGCCAAACATATTGACCATTAATGTTATCACAGCTCCTTAGTCAGTAGTAGATGCTCAGAAAATGTTTCCTACAATTTTTAAGAGACAATAAGCAGAGTCATTAAAGTCGGGAGCTTCACTATCGTAAAAAACCTACAAATGTACTTTTAATAGCTACAATGAAAAGAAATTGATAAAACATAGTATATGGAAACAAAACCCAGTATCTTTTCCTTGTATAATCAATAGAAAAAGCCATTTAGGAGTTAATTTTACTTTGGTGTTTTGGTCCGATTCTTCTAAATCATGTGTATTTTTTTTCACCCTTTTTTTTAAGAATTTTACATTGGTTTACCTACCATGTTTGTATACATTGCCACTCACACCAGATACTCCCTACCTCCCCAACCCTAAATCAGGTTTATTATTTTATTTCCTAGCATACTTCGTTGCAAAGGCCATATTTCAGGTACTCAGTAGCCACATGTGAGTGGACTGCTATACTGGGCAGCATAGATCTGGACTGTATCCAGATTATACCTTCTGAGCTGCATGACTTTGGGCAGGTTACTTACTATCTCTGTGTCTCTGTTTCTTCATCTTAAAATAGTGAGACTATTATACTGGGCAGCATAGATCTGGACTGTATCCAGATTATACCTTCTGAGCTGCATGACTTTGGGCAGGTTACTTACTATCTCTGTGTCTCTGTTTCTTCATCTTAAAATAGTGATAACAATTGTGTATCTCATGCTGTGAGGATTAAATTTGTTAATATAAAATGCAGCCCAATATGGTATAGACTATGCCTTTAAAAATTTCTCATCTACATATGTTGTTATGTGCTATTAAGTCAGCACCGGCTCATAGCTGACCTTCCAGAAGTTTTTCAAAGGCTGTGAATTATATCGTTGGAGATTTTCCATCTTTCTCTTATGAAACAGCTGGTGGATTTGAACTGCATACTTTTGAGTTGACAGCACAACTCCTTACTCCTAGGCCAAGCATTATTCATGTTTTCTACTTTTTAAATTGTGACTTGAGTAGCACTGTTGTTGTTATGTGCTGTCGACTTCATCTTTAGTGATTGTCAAATTCTCTGATGAACAGCAAGTAATTGTGAAGACCATAGCCTAGATCAGGTGTACCTTAGTCTCTAGACTGACATTGCATCCCAGCACTCTGGAGAAGTCCCTGACAGCAGATTTTCCCAGTGCAGTTCCAAACGTGGTAATGGTCACCCATGGTGGACAGTGTTTGCTGGAGCTTCCTGACTAAAACAAGCCTGGAAGCAGGAGCGGCATCCACTTCCGAAGTGGCTTACCTCCGGAAACCCTATGAACAATGCTCAGGCCTTTCATTCATAGGGTCACTGTGAGTCGTCTACAACTCAATGGCACCAAACAACAACAACAACAACAATTCTAAGTTTTGCCGATCTGAGTACTAATTACTTAAAATGTTGTTTTTAAAGTGTTCACTTTTAAAACATATCTGTTTCACCCCCACCTTAATCAGAAATAACTGTAGACTCTACTAGAGAGCTTTGATGGCCTAATGGATAAGGGGCTGAACTCTCATCTCAGTGGCAGACAGTTTGAATCCACCAGCTGCTCCATGGGAGAAGATGGGCAGTCTGCTCTCATGTGATTTTACTGCCTCTGAAAAACTGCTGGAGAGTCAGCTGTGGGTCCTTTCAGACTCAATAGCACATAACAACAAAACTTTTTTAGAAGAGGTTGTGGTCCCAGGGATGTCATTGCTGATGTCAGATGGATCCTATTTGAAAGCAGAGAATACCAGAAGAATGTATATTTGTTTTATTGACTATGCAAAGACATTTGACTGTGGATCAGAAAAGATTATGGCTAACACTGAGAAGAAAGTTATATCTGATTAAGGTGGGGGTAGAACACTTAATTCTGCTCATAGAAAGGCTATATCTAGACCAAGAGGCTGTTGTGAGAACAGAGCAAGGGAACTCTGCATGGTTTAAAATTAGGAAAGATGTACATCAGGGTTCTGTTCTTTCTTGATACCTATTCATTCTTTTTGCTGAGTGAATCATTTGAGAAGCTGAACTCTATGAAGAAGAATGTGGCATCATCATAGGAGGAAGACTCATGAACAACTTGTATTATGCAGATGACACAACCTTGCTTGCCCAAAGTGAGGATTTGAAGTGCTCTTGAAGCCATAGAAGATTAAAAAATACAGCCTTCAATATGGATTGTATCTCAACATCAAGAAGACAAAAGTTCTTAGCACTGGATCAGTAAGCAACATCATGATAAATGGAGAAAAGATTGAAAAGTCAACAATTTCTTCTTACTTGGATCCATGATCAATACCCTGGGTATCAGCAGTCAGGAGATGAGGAGATGTATTACACTGGGCAAGTCCTCTGTTGGGGACTTCTCCAAAAGTACTGAGGGGCAATGATGTTAGTTTGAAGACTAAAGTATACCTATTTCAGGCCATGGTCTTTTCCATCACTTGCTGTGTGGACAATGAATCAAGATGGCCGAAGAATAATTGATGAATTGTAGTGTTAGAGAAGAGTACTGAATATCCCACACACTGCCAAAAGAACAGACCTGTATGTCTTGGAAAAAGTGCAACCAAACCAAAATGCTCATTGGAAACAAGGATGGTGAAGTTTCACTCACATACTTTGAGGATGTTGCTAGAAGAGGCTGTTCCTTGGAAAAGGAAATCATGTTTGGAAAGAGGGTCTGCAAAAAAGAGGAAGACCCTCAGTGAGATAGTTGATACAGTGGCTTCAGCAGTAGGCTAAAGTGTGTTACTATGGCACAGGAAAGGACAGGGTTCAGTTCTAGTTGAAGGATTGCTGTGAGTTGACTGATGGAACCTAACAAAAACAGTAGAATTAAAAAGGGTCTTGAAAAACCCACTGTCATGGAGTCAATTTCAATGCTTAGTAACTCAATAGGACAGAGTAGAATTGCCCTGTGGGTTTCCAAGTTTGTAAATCTTTGTGGTAGAATGCCACATCTTTCTCCTTCTTAGGAGATGGTAGATGGTGAGCTCTGACCTTTTGGTTCAGTCAAGTAATTTAACTACTGCATCACCAAAGCTCCTTAAAATGGTCAAAAATGCTGCTAAAGCCATCCCACACAACCCCTCATATATGGGTTATCCCTGCCCCATGGGGTGAGGCATCTGCTGAGCAGCAGGGTCCCTGCCCTCAGAGAGGCCTGGTTCGTTTTCATCCTTCCTGGAAGCACCATCTTTCTTTCAAACCTCTCCCCAATGTGTAGGGATCCTGGGCCCTCGGGCCCTGCATCAGTTATCTTACCTCTGCCTACTCTTCACTCACGGTGCTCTGTATCCTCATCTCTCTCTAACTAGTTCTTTATGAGGGAAGTCATGGAGCCAAACAAGCCCCTTCTTAAGTCCTTCTCTGGCGACCATTTAGTCTCCTTATTAGGTCCTGCTGGTCCCTAGTACAGCCTTCCCTGCAGCTCTAGCCACTAGTCCTGGAGGGAGGCCAAGGAGGGATGTCCTGAGGGCCCTTTACCACCTGTATGCCCCACCTCTGGCAGGCACTTCTGAATGAACATCCATCACATTGTCCCTTAGCTTTGTTGAGTCGCTCTCTTCTTCCTCTTTCTGCATGTTCTTTCCTATCGCTCTGTTTCCCCATCTTTTACCCTATTCTCTTTTTTCCTCTTCCTTCTTCTTCTTTTCTCTTTTCCACTCTTCTGCCATTCTGGTTGCTAAATACCCTGTGGACCTTGCCTCATAGGCTTTCTCCTCCTTCCTTGTTCTTGTAGTTTCTGTCTCCAGCCACAATGGGCCATTTCGAGTAGCTGCAGCCTCTGGGAGCCCAGCTTGGCAGCCCAGCTGGTGAGTTGGGGTACAAAGGTGGAAGCTAGGCTGGGTGTGGGAGGGGGAGGCTCCCAGAGGCTCAGTTCTGAGGACCCATTTTCCAACTGAGGATGGGAGGCTGAGCCTCCAGAACCCCAAGAGGTGGACTATGAGGTTAGGGAAAGTAATGTTTCTGTCACTGTCTGCTTATGGATTCACATTTTTCTCTATGAATTTTGATTTCATTCTTGTTCTCATTCTGTATTCATCATTATCATATTAGTTTTTTAAAAAATTAGGTAAAATATATATAACAAAAAAATTTGCTGTTTTGATCACTTTTAGGTATACAGTTAGTAATACTAATTATATTTACCATGTTGTGTGCAACTACTACCACTGTCTATTTCTAAAAGGTTTTTTTGCCACCTTCATGTGATTTCCCCCCCCCCTTCTTTTGACAGGTCAGGTTTGGGTTTTGGTTTTTTTTTTAATTTGAGTAAAGGCTTAAAAATAATTTTAATTTTTCTTATAACAATAGACTTTTTTTTGGTACATTAATTCATACTGATTAATGTATTTGATTATTAACAACCAATGTGTAATCACCCCCTTATTGTGTATTGCCTTTCCCTTTACTCAACTTATCTATAAATTACAAAATTTTACTGTAGTAAGCATAAGGCAGGACCAGTCCTTGGAGAGTGATGTCATGCTGAGAGGATGAAGGGATAGCACAAGAGAGGAAGACCCTTCATGAGATAGATGGGTTGATTCAGTGATTGATGTAATGGGGGTAGGTGTGTCAGAGACAGTAAGAATGGCACAGGATAGAGCAAGGTTTAGGGCTGTTACACATAGATAGGGTCGCTATGAGTTGTAGGCAATTTGACAGCACATTACAGCAAGCATAAGTGTAGCAAAACCTTGTCATTTCATCATTTTCACAATTCAGTATTTCTATTTGTAATGTTATTCAACTACCACCATTATTTATGTCCAGATTATTCATTCACCAATAGAAGCTAAAGGTTTTCATAATACTGTCATACTAGCTCTTAAATTTTGTTTTGTGAAAATGGTCTAAAACTTAAAAGATGCACAAGGACATGGTGAAAGGTAACTTTTCCTCCCTCTTCTGTCCTCCCAGCCACCCAGTTCCTCTCCCAGAGGCAGCCAGTTTCTCACATATCCATCCAGAGCTGTTCTTTGTAGATGTATGTGTGTGTTTGTGTGCTAGTTGGACCAGTGCTAGTTGTCATTCAGTTCATTCCAACTCTTGGTGACCTCATGTGTCAGAGTAGAACCGCACTCCTTGGAACTTTCTTTTTTTTCCTATTGTGATATGAGTGAAAATTTGTAGGGAAAACTATTTCCCAGGGTAAGCAGATTAGAAGCAGATCACCAGGCATTTCTTCTGAGGCACCTCTGGGTGGGTTAAAACAGCCAACCTCTTGGTTTATAGTCACTGACTTAATTGTGCCACTCAAGACTCTTGTGTGTATATGTGTGTATATTTTTAAAATTTTCTTTAATCCAGATATTGCGTATTATAACACTGTTCTGTATTATATAAACAGCTTCATAGGCATAGAAGTGGTGATGTCCAACTTCCACAAAATTCACAAGGGTAGAAGAATCACCATCAGTAGCCACAACCCAGAACTAACCCCTGTGACATCAGATGTACCCCTATTCTTTGTGCTCTAAACCTTTTTCTATTGATTTTGGCAATAACCATTCTTCTACCATCACTCAATACTTCTCTGTTGTGTTCAATACTTTGTTGTAGTGGCCACATAGAGCTCACAGATAGTACTTAAAATTATGAGGTTTATTAGAGAAACAACAGTTCTTTAACAAGGGTAGTTTCTTCTCAGTTATGCTGAAACTCAGACCTATCCCTGGCCCTTGGCCTCACCCTTGGCCTTTGCCCTGCTTGGGCAAGTGTTAGAAAGCTCATTGAGCTCTTCTGGGTTTTAAAATTTTTTATTTATTTCATTGGTTTGCATATAATCATTATGCGTTGTATTTTGTACAATCAGTCATATACATTGTATTTTATATAAGTAATTACTGCTGAGCTCTGCAATTTTTAAGAGCTAGTGACACCCCACTTTGCCACAAACCTGGGCCCAGAGGCAGTTGGCTTTAGTTCTGAGTCAACAAACCAAATAAAGCTGTAGCTTCCTTACATGTGCTTAAAGGTACTCACTCCACAGCAAGCACACAGCTTTCTTGCTCTGGGGGCTGAGAGCCTACAGCTGTGTCTTGCATCAGCCTCCAGTTTTGCAGTCCCTGCCACTTCTGCTTCGTGGCTACTGCTTACCTCCATCTCCTGGTTTGAGGAAATGTCAGTGCAGGGATCTTATGTTGTACTCTGGTTGTTCATTTTTATGGTAGTGAGATCCCCACTTTATGCTTCTCAGATGACTCCTTTTATATATGAAAACATGTCAAGATTGACCAATCCCCAGATTGTTGTTGTTAGGTCCCATTGAGTTGAGTACGACTCAGAGTCACCCTATGAACAGCAATCAGAACTCTGTCCTATCCTGTACCATCCTCACAAACTCTGATATACTTGAGTCTATTGCTGCAATCACTCTGTCATTCCATCTGATTGAGGGTCTTCCTCCCTGTCTGTTTTCCCACCTTTCCAAACATAGTGTACTTCTCCAAGGAATAACTTCTTCTAGCAACATGCCCAAATATATGAGATGACCTTTATTGTTTTTGCCTTGCTGAAACTGAAGAGGACCTGAAGTGCTTGCTGCAGAAGGTCAAGGACTATAGCCTTCAATATGAATTGAAGCTCAACATCAAGAAGACAAAAGATTCTTACCACTGGGCCAATTGGCAGCACCATGATAGATTGAGAAGAGATTGAGGTTGCTAACAATTACAGCTTGCTTGGCTCCACATTCAGCACTCTTGGCACCAGCAGTCAGGAAATCAAAAGACAAATTGCATTGGGAAAATCTGCTGTCAGGGACCTCTCTAGAGTACTGAAAAGCAAATGATATCAGTCTAGAGACTAAGATGCCTAATCCATGACATGATTTTTTTGCAGTTACTTGCTATGTATCAGAGAGCTGGACAGTGACTAAGAATGATAGAAGAAGATTGATGTCTTTGCGTTGTGGTGCTCTGAAGTAGAGTCTTGAACATACCATGGACTGCCAAGAAAATAAATTAAGTCTCTCTTGGAGGGTGAAACCAATTTTCTCCTTGGAGGCTAGGATTTTGAAGCTCCATCTCACATACTTTGGGCACCTGGCCAGGGGGGACCAGTCTTTGGAGAAGGACATCATGCTCAGAAGGATGAAGGGACAGTACAGGAGAGGAAGACCTTGGATGAAATGGACTGATATAGTAACTGGAGCAGTGGGTATTGGTATGTCGGAATTAGTGAAACTGGCTCAGAATAGGGCAGGGTTCAGAGCTTTAGTACCTAAGGTTTCTATGAATCACAGATGACTCGGCGGCACATAACAACAGCAACGAGGAGCACCTTGTCTGCACCTTCTCTATGATATATCTGCTTGTTCTTTTGACAGTTCATATTCAGTACTCTTCTCCAACATCACAGCTCAAAGACATCACTTCTTCTGCCATCCTTATTCATTGTCTATCTTTCAGATGCTTAGTAAGTGATTTGAAAAGACCATGCCCTGAATCAACTGCACCTTAGTCTTCAAACTGACATTATTGCTCCTCAGTAATTTGGAGAGGTCCCTAACAGTAGACTTGCCCAATGCAATACTTCTCCTGATAACCTGACTGCTGGTACCAAGGGTGCTGGATCCAAGTAAGATAAAGGCATTGACAGTTTCAATCTTTTCTCCATCTATCATGATGTTGCGTATCTGTCCAGTGGGAACAAGTTTGTTTTCTTAACATTGAGATGCCATCCATATTGAAGGCTTATTCTTTGATTCTCTGCAACAAGCACTTCAAGTCCTCCTCACTTTCAGCAAGCAAGCTTGTGTGATCTCCATTAATACAGGTTGTACATGAGTCTTCCTCCCATCTTGATGCCACATTCTTTTTCATAGAGTTAACTTCTTGAATGATTTGCTTGGCATACAGTTTTAATAGATATGGATAAAAGATACAAGCCTGACACACACTCTTCCTGATTTTAAACCATGCAGTGTTCCCTTGCTCTGTTTGCACAACATTCTCTTGGTCTAGGTCTAGGTTTCACATGAGCATAATTAAATGTTCTGGGATTCCCATTCTTTTTAATGTTAGCTATATGTTTTTTAAGATCTACACAGGCAAATGCCTATGCATACTCAATAAAGAACCAATCGACATTCTTCTGGTACTCTTTGCTTTCAGCCAGGATCCATCTAACATCAAGTGATACCCCTGGTGCTACAGCTGCTTCTAAATCCAACTTAAACTTCTGGCACTTCTCTACATACTATTTCCTTTGTGAATTATCTTCAGCAGTATCTTACATGTGTTATTAATAATATTATTCGATAATTTCCATATTCTGTTGGATCACCCATTTTGGGAATGGAAACAAATAGGAACCTCTTCCAGTCAGTCAGCTAGGTAGCTGTCCTCCAAATTTCCTGGTGTAGACTGGTGAGCTAGCTAACTAACCAACCAACCAACTGTTAAAACACATCAGTTAGTATCCCATCAATTCCTGGGGTCTCATTTAATTCCGGTTGGCATTCTGTATATCTTGTTTGCATAGTCCTACTCAAAAGGTATCATTTACCTTATTTGCAAATTATCCAGTCCTCTTAGTGGGCTACCAATACCTCACATTTGCATAGTCCTGCTAAGTATGTGGTGAATTGCATAGACCATGGGTAGAAGCCGCCACATCTAGTAATTCATTACATGTCTTACACCTTTCTTTTTAACTTAACAGTAAAACCTTAATATAATTTTACATGAACCTTAGAATCAGCCTGTCTAGAAGAATTCCATTTAGTATTTTTAGTGGGATTGTATTAAATCCTCACTTAACTTTGCAAGAGTTGCTAACTCTGTTGTGTTGAACATCTTACTCA